GCCCGCGTGCCACCACGCTGCGCTGCAGGAAGGTGCTTCTGGCGTTTTCTGACCCCGATTCAGCCACCGCCGCTCAGAGCTTGCATCTAGATGAATACATCGAGTGCTGCCGCACGTCCCCGGGTTGCAATCAGCAGAGAGCAACGCAGACCCAGCACCCAGCACCCAGCACCCAGCACGCCTCTTTGTACGGAAGCAGAAGGACCGGCTCGAGCTGTGGGGACGGTGTCTAGCCGAGTGCTGTCCCCCGACTATAAGGTACAGCATCCAGCCTGGACAGCAATGTACCACACAAATGCCTCACACAAACTTTTATTATTCACCGAAACATCATAAATCTCGACGAACTCCCTGCTTCACAGCAATGCAGCCGCCAGCCCTTATGTGCGGCGTCACCTCCTGCCACCCCAGCGCGTGCCTGCAGCCTTGCAGCCTCGGTACTTCCCGAAGCCGGGCTGTCCTGGAGGTGTGCGATGCTGCAGGAGGTTTCACCGCTGCTCTCATCAAGGGGAAGGTTTTCATCCTCTGAATTAAAGGCACACAAATCAGGAGCCAAACTGTCCTTCCGCCACACAACAGCCGCTCTTTGGCGCGGTGCCTGCGTAGGGCCAAGTCTCCGTCCCCTTAGGAAGGCAGCATGGCCTTGGTGCGTCTCGGTTTCACACAAAGCATCCCGGTTGCCAGCCTCCCTTGCCGGCAGGTACGTGGCTCCACAACAGGCTGTGGGTAAGACCTTGCAGCAAGATTTTGGGAGCAATCTGCTTGTCAGATGCAGGACCCCGCTGCAGCGCTACGCCCGAGGACGCGGGGTTTTCCACACGTGCTGCTAACGGGATGAACGTGCCCGATCGGTGAAGCTGAAAAGCGAGCATGGACTTCCCACCCCGCCGGGCCAAGAGACAGTTGTGCAAGAGAAGCAGCGTGGCTGAAGCGAGAGGGAGCGAGACAGCCAGAGAGGCTGGAGGACTTCGTACGCCACGCAGAGGGCTGCAGCAAAGCCGGCACAGCTCGCTGTCACCTCGCCTCCTTTTTCATTCTTACAAGGGAACTATTCCCCCGGCTCCGTTTGGCACAAACCTGGCTGAGGACACACCTCTGGATGCCACTGAATTTGGTAAAGACATTTGGCAGCGTGGCTGTGCTTGAGGCCCCAGCTCTGCCTCTAGTTGGCAAATTTTCTGAAGACAAGAGGAGAAACATGTTGTCCTTTCAAAAATACTGCCGGGGAAAGCTGTGCGTCAGATGGAGCCCCGCAAAAATGACTGCCACAAACCAAGTTTCATTTTCGCTTTGGGACGGGGAAGAGGGTGCGCTGCTGGCACCAGCTGGAGAGCCCGCAGCCCACTGGGAGCCTATGTGCCACAGCCCATGGCAAAGCCAGGGGAGGGCGGTGAATATTCAGTATTGAGAAGAGCCAAAGGAAACACATTGGGAAACGTACTGGAAACAACAGACTTCCGTAAAGAAGTGTCTGAAGTCTGTAGTTGTCGGTATAAAGAAACAGCTTTGCTGTAACGTCATGGAGAAGTAAACCTTGAAAGGTGTCTACAGAATTCCCTACCTACAAGCAGTGCTTTAGGACCCGGGGCTGCACACTTTCTGTGCAAATGGGAAAAAATCATGCCAGCCAGCATAGCGTATAAAACCAGAAAAGGCAGGAGACGAGACCTTTAGGGGACCAGTTCTTCCTTGCCAACAAAGCAGACACCTTCCCTGCAATAGTCTGCAGATTTATTTTTGGCAGATTGTAATGCGGGTAAAATTCAGTATTGAGAAGAGCCAAAGGAAACCCATTGGGAAACGTACTGGAAACAACAGACTTCCGTAAAGAAGTGTCTGAAGTCTGTAGTTGTCGGTATAAAGAAACAGCTTTGCTGTAACGTCATGGAGAAGTAAACCTTGAAAGGTGTCTACAGAATTCCCTACCTACAAGCAGTGCTTTAGGACCCGGGGCTGCACACTTTCTGTGCAAATGGGAAAAAATCATGCCAGCCAGCATAGCGTATAAAACCAGAAAAGGCAGGAGACGAGACCTTTAGGGGACCAGTTCTTCCTTGCCAACAAAGCAGACACCTTCCCTGCAATAGTCTGCAGATTTATTTTTGGCAGATTGTAATTAAAATAGTCTTTATGGCTTTAGAGAGAAGCCACGGAGCTGCACGTTTTGGTTGAAGCGGAGAGCGCGCGCGTGTGGAATGCTCGGGATGAAGGGACATCGCAGAGAGAGGCCTCGCCACAGCTCTGCTCCTTCCACCTGGCCCACAAACGCTGCTGCTGGCACTTGGCTCTCTTTAGTGTGCTCATTTCTCATCAGCAAGTAACAAAGTTCTGGTTGCTAACCAGTCCGATCCCAGAGGCAGAGTAAAAAGTCCTTGTTAAGACCTAGAAAAGCTTCATGTTTCCAACACAATCGAACGCAAACACGTGCAAATGTTGTTCCTGGTTTGACGCGTTTGCTCAAGTTCCACCACCAGTGCACTGGAATTCGCTTTCTCTGCAGAGCGATTTCATTCCCCATCTGTTCTCCACCTTTCAGTCTTCTCAGGAGTCTTGACAAGCTATCCCTCCATTTTCGTCCTCCACACTTTTTCCTGTGCACATCCTTCCTGCCCTTCCCTCTTCCGCTGTCACACCCTGTTCCTCCCCAGCTATTTTCGGAAAGCAAAGACGTCCCGTGTTTTCAAGCCTCTCTTGCCTTCGCTTCCTGGTTTAGGAGAAGACGCTTCCGCCAGTCCCCCGTACGGGCAGCTCTCGGACTCGGGGTGATGGCCAGAGCACTCCACGGCGGGGATGAAGCCACTGTCCCACATCCCTGTCCCACACAGCTTGCACAGGTCGTGCAGGCTGCAGGGGATGCGGGGGAGCAGGTGGAACTGATAGAGCAGGCTCCTCGCCTAGAGGGGAGAGAGACAGCGCCATTCGCCCCTCGCCAGAGGACAAGCGTGGGGAGCAGAGGTAGCCCGCGCCCTCCCGTCCCATCCCCTTGTTTAGCTACCTACTTTAGAATAGAGTCAGAGCTGCAGCAAAGGAGCCCCCCTCCTGAAGACAACCCTGAAGGCTAAACGAGGCACTGGGGACACTGCCGGGTGGCAGGAGCGGCCGCACGCCGCAGCACAGCCCACGGCCTGCTGTCACCCCCAGCCCCAGACGGACCGGGGACCGTGGCACGAAGACGAACGGCTCTGTCTGCCGCTTCCCCTCGGTACGTGCAAGGCTTATCCCAACCACACCGTTACCTCCCAAGCACTCTACACTGCCTCTTACTTCTGCAAAACTGGTCTCCAGGCAAAGAGCAGCACCCTGCCCTCCCAGGCTCCAGCAAGCAGGGGGATACAGGAGGTGTGGAAGATGCAGCATCAGTCCCCGATTTTGTCAACGCTCTGACTCATCTCTTGGAGCTGAGGCTCAGCCCACGTCAGCCCGCGAGTGTTTACCTTCCTGAGTACAAGTTCTCCGTTCATGTGCATAGCCAGGTTGCCGAAATGCAGCAGCATCTGGTCCGTGGCCAGCTGCTGTTCGATGACGTCGTCCCCATAAATCACCACGATGGCCACACAGATAAAGAGGTGGAAATAGTCGGTCTGCAATGAGAAAAGAGGGGCTGGAGTACAGCAGGTGGAGGCAGAGGTTTGACTTAACCTTCCCACCCTCCACAAGCACGTTCCTAGCAGGGATTTTGTGCTCCTTCCAGTTCTGCCTAATGACATTCCGAAAGCGAGCTATCGGTGAATTCTGAATCACAGCTGAGTCAAAGCCTTTAGAGCATGGGAGCAAGGTTTGGACCACAGCTTTCAAAGCAGACTAGTGATTTTTGGGAAGACATTTCCCAGCTGTGAAAGAGAAGTCTGAACTTCAGAACTGGATGTTCTGCACTTTCTAAAGGGCCTCCTTTTGAAGCCTGGACATCCTCAAGTAGGAGAGGCAGGTGCCCATCTGCCCTGCTACACAGCTAAACCTCTCTGATCATTACAGACCCTCCGTAACACCTACTTATTTTGGATACTTTGCTACTAAGAGCCTTTAAGGAAATTCTGCAACACTGGCTGAGACGGTGAGGGTTCAGCAAAGGACGCGGTGCTGCCTGGCATGCACGGTGCCCATCTCCAGCTCTCTGACCTGATAGTGAGCCCAGCACGCTTCCCACATGCGCAAAGCCTCAGCATCTGGAAATTCACGTTTGAAACAGAGGAGGATCCAACGGTGACAGAAAAGCATCTGCAGGCCGTCCTCTCCCAAGGAAGAAAGGTGCTGGTAGAAGCGTGGGTGCATGAGCCGTAGCAGCTCTCGCAGGTACATCTGGAAGAGATGCTCCGAGCTGAGCCGCTGCCTGGTGCAGGAGGGCTCGCGCCGCCCTCGCCCGCCAGCCCGGGGAGCCCCCCACCGCCTGCCAGACCTGGGCTCCCGCAGAGCTGCCCGCCGTCCTCCCCTCTCGCAAAAAGCTCCGGCTTTACGGCCTGTTTATTACAGCACAGCCAGGAGCACGCTTGGGTCTATCGTTAAAGGCCAGAGCTCAGCGGCCACGGCAGCTATTTCACAAGGAAGGATGGAGGGTGAAAAGAAAATCCCATGGCAGCTACATTGTGAAAAGGAAGAAGGGGAGAGATTCAGGCTGAGGAAAGCGGCTAGAGCCTTAAAGACTAGAGAAAAGAAAGGACACAGCTATCTCTGGCAATACTTCATTTCAGCAGAGGCCAAGCAATGTGGAAGTGATTTTGGAGAGCCTGACTATACAGGCACATTGCAGTGCATAAATCTGTACATTAACTAACTGCGCCTCACCAGCAGCCTCCCACAGGGGTTCCACCACAGGTTTACCACTTTAAATTGGTGCCATCATGACCTGGACAGGATTGTTCAGGTTTAGAATGGATTTTTCAGGATCTTAACCAGAAAACAACTGACATTCATGTTAAAACCTAAAAAATTCCCATTTTAAAACAAGTTCACCTTATTTTAAGAAACTCTGTCAGGTATACAAGGCTTTTCATTTGGAGATAATTTTTAAAACCTATTAAAAATATTAAGACCTTAAAAAAAATCCCACAAAGAGGGCTGCAGCTCAAACAACTCCTCTGCCTCATTCACACCAAATGCCCCGGAGCCAGGACAAAACCGAACCAGCGAGCCTTCCCTGCCTGCGAGAAGGGCAAAGAGAAAGCAAGCAGCATCCTAAGTAGACTTGGGCACCAAAGATTCCTTGAATAAGCACCCTTTAGCATAGCCAAGGTAACTTTACTCCGACAATTTATTGGCTATAACTGCCTCTGGAGCGCCCAGATCACCCAGGATCAATCTTATCCATCAGGTATTTTGTGGCTTTGGAATTCAGCATGCTGGAACCCAACGGCCCAGCCTTACGGCGTTCTTCTAATCTGACCGGGGAGAGGAGAAGCTAAAGACAGGGCTAAAGGGAGCTCAGCATGCAGCCTCACCAGCTGTTTCTCCATGTCCTCATCCCGGGGTGAGCTGATGAAGATCGTGTTCTGCATCAATCCTACAAAGCACCAGAAAGTATCCGACTCATCTAGGACCTCTGCCAGGAGCGGGGCAACCAGGTCGGACATCCCCTGGGAATATCCAATTGTTGGGTTAAATACTGCATAGTTCAGCAAGATCCTCCTGGAGAAGAGATGCAAACGGAGAGGTGAGCCGCAGGGGGGGCACGTCACAGCCCAGCCCAGCACCCTTTCCCTTCCACCCCAACCCCACCATACAGGCTGAGCCAGGCAGAGGGCAGAAGAGCAACAGATCATCCCTGCCATCTAAAAGATTAACTTGCAATTGCACCCGGAGGCTTGTGAAAAGCCTAGCAAAGATACACTTCCACTATACCTAACTGGAACTCTCATTTTTTAGGGTTACAACATTTTGCATCAATCCAGAGAGGCTCCTGGATGGACAAGAACTCCGAACAGCAACCTAAGGCACTGGATTTGAACAGAACTCCTGAGGCTCCTGTTTTCCAACTGCAGGCCGGCCCACCGGGAGCAGTGCAGGAGGAACAAGCAGCGCAGTCCATCTCGGGTACAGAGACACACGACCCTGCTGTACTTTCACACATACAGATAAACCCTGCCGCAAACATCAGTCCGGTGAAAGAAACTCCAGGAGAAGGTTTTGCATACACAGACCAAAATATAAAAAGAAAAGAAGAATTTAAAAAGACTTAAGAGGACAGAAATGAGGGGCACAGGGGAAAGGAGAGATGATGCTTACACATCCATGAGGCTCCAAGCCATATTCTTACATGAAATCCAACTGTTTTGTAGGCACACAGTTACAAGTCGCACACCCACAGAGCAGGGTCTGGTGGGCTCGTCCTCCACCCCATCAGGAGAACCACAGACCCAAGCAATTGCCCACAACCCTGCTGCAGCACCCATGACCTTCCCATAGCCACAGAAGGCTCACACCTCTTCTGTGCCTTCATATGCAGGGAAGCAAGGTGATGGGAGCAGGGTTATTTTATCAAGAAGTAAACGGCTGAAGCAGCAGTGAAAGCACTGGAGAAGGAGTCCTTGGTTTTGCACCGTACCACTTGGTATGCACGGTGCTCTTCAGCTGTCCCAAGGCAGCGACCTAGGCAGCCTGGGTCAGGAGGCTTACCGGGTTTTCTATACATTCAGCTGTTTGGGACACTAGAATCAGATACCTCACCTCATCATTTCCACATTTGGGTTGTCCTCCCCTCGAAAGAACTGGTTGCTGCGGTCAGTCCTCACGACGTCTTTATCTACCGTGAACTGTACTTTACGCCAAAAATCCTTCTGTTCGTCCGGAGTCATCGAAAGCCTGAAAATTCAGCAGCAACAGGAGTGGGTTGCCAAGAGAAGATTATGATTGCCACAAGGAACAGAAAGCTTTATTTCAACTTTAGTTTTCAGAGAAAAACTATTCCTGTACAGAGTTGTCTCATCACCTGGAAAACGGACAAGCAGCTCTGTTCAGAACAGCAGATTTTCTCTCCAAACAGATGACTCGGAAGGAGCCTCCTGGGTTATGAATGGGGTGAGGTGATGTGTTTTCTGCGAGGAAAGAACTTCCCACTTCGGAAGCAGTGGGACTCTGCTCTCCACTGCTCCTTCTGGGTGGCACATCAGAACGCACCGCTCTATTTTCATTGTCTCCTTATTAAAAATACCACCGTCCTCTCCAGCTTAAATGTACCCACATCTAGTTCACAACATACAGTTGTTGCAGTAATAACTTCCATGAATTAGAGATCCCTTCTTCTTCCCTATTTTTGCAACCAGATATATTTATAAAGAAACAGAAGATCCCATTCGCCTCTTCAGTGTCCTAAACCGAGCATGCCAAGCTTGTAGTCTTGCCCATGAGATAAGCTTCCCTACGCAGTACCGACGAGCCTGTTTCAAGACCCCGGGTAAGACAGCATTTGAGCTATGGTATCAGCTCCAGACCCTCCCGCGGTCAGGTGTACAGGCCAGGCGAAGGAGGCAGAGACTCTGCACGTCACCAGCGGCGTGACTGCGACGTCAGGCCTGGGGAGATAAGAGCAGCAGAGGATGAAGCCGCTCTGTTACCTTTTCTCCTGGATCTCCAAGTACTCTTTCCTCTTCTGCAGCCTCAGTGCTTCCCTCTCTTCGGAGGTAGACTCGTAGCTGTAGTAGTGCAGCAGAAAGGGCCACACCTCCCCACGGATGGAAATATCAATCCCACCAAAGAAAATGGCCTGGAAGAAGGAGCAAAAGTTATGACTGGTACAGTTTTAACATTCCCCAAAACAGCAACAAGAAACTGCCCGCTACTGTGCTTTGGTGGCTTTGCAGTTCTTTGCTGACAAGTGAAGCCTTGATTCAAGCTCCTGCAATTTGCACATGTTTAGAGGGAAAGTGCTGGCCTTCTATTCCCAGACAAGACACAAATCGGGCTCATTTCAATGTCAATAACCCCCCCTGGAGAGGCTCTATGATTAACGTGTCGTTCTCATGTCACGGCTTAATCCCCAATCCTGGAGACGCTGCATTTCACTGCAAACTTCTCTCTCAGGACCTGGACCCAGTGGTGCCCCACAAGCCCCGCGTTATTTCATACAGTAATCTCAATTTTTCTTTCTTTGCTTTGCTCACGATGTATTTTGCAAACATGTCCATTTGCACTGGACACTCTGGTTGCTAATCCCAGCCGGCAGCAGAAGCCGGACAGCTCGCCCTCCTGGGTCAGAGAGATGCTCTCCCGTCCCGCCTGTGGCAGACTCATCTGCAGTCCCAGCAAGACCTCCAGCCAAGCACCGTACGCCAGTCTTTATACTCTCAAACACCCAGCTCTTGCCCCCAGCGCGAAAGGGAACTCTTGCAGCTTCCACCTGGGGACTCGCACTCTGCGGCAGGAGAGAAAGGATGAAACGTGCCGCGGCCAGCCCGCTCACCTTCTGCAGCTTGTACTCCTCCTCCACCTGCCCGGATTCGTTCAGGTGATGGAGCCAGGCAGACACATCAAGACGCTTGTACGCGTTCTCCTCCGGGTGGGTTTCCGAGGAAGGCAGCTTGGGACGGCGGATAGAGAACTGCATGCACGTTTTCTCATCAGTAAGCTGCTGAACGGGGGAAAACAAACCAAAAAAACCTGGAGGTAGGAGCCAGAGATAGCAGCAGAGTATGAAACCCAGCAGTTTTCAGAGCAGGAAAACCTTTTTGCGTGGTTCGTCTAGGATTAAGCACTAAGGCGCTGCATTTGGGGAAGGTTTTTTTTTTAAATTCCAACCATGACAATAGTAAGAGTGATTAGAATAATTAAAAACCTGAGCACCACAAACCAGCTTCGTCTTAAAAAAAAAAAAAAAAAATTGTTTCCATTCCTCCCCCAAATCTTATCCCTGACCTGAAACATATGATTGGCCATATACAAAGGGATTGCTGTTAGGCAAGCAGGGAACTGCACTGCCAGGCTCTCTAAGGGCACTCATGATCCCAGTGCAAGACTGCAGCTGACATTTAATTTAAAAATCAAAGGTTGTTCAATGCAAAAAGTGAGCCCATGCGACCATAATAAGAAAAGCAGCAGGGGGCTCTGTGGGAAGGATGGAAATTTAAAAATCACTGTTTCTAATAAGCACATACAGTATCTTAAACAGATAATTAAAGAGCTCTTATCACATTTGTATGTAGATTGAACAAAATATGGCAAGATGCCTTGTCAAAACATTTTCCAAGGCAGTGTGCTACGCTTCACAAAATGGATGAAAGCCTCTGACAGAATTTCAGACCTACCACTGCAGATTTCCCAGCCACCTTACATGCCTAAAGCATAGCGCTGACCTGTCGGGTCTAGCAAAATAACTACCTAAGCAAGTCTTCTGGATTATCTTTCCCCATATTCCACAGGCAGAACAGGAATGGATGGGGTAAGCAGGTACAACAGAGACCTTGTGTCCAATGCACAGCTGCATCCTAAACAATGTCCAACGCGTTGCAGCTTTCTACCTAACGTGATGACGTGAACTCATAGCTTCGTTTCCCCAACACGCTCCCCTGGCTAAAAACCCAAGTGTGAAGCATCTGCTGGGAAAGCCCTCTTTGCCCCACGAGCCTTGCTCAGGTACCTGGTCCTTGAGATGGGTCTCTGTGCAGTACTTCCATTGCTGAAACACCTCGGACAGTTTATCCAGGCCACCATGGTGAAAATGGAAGATCTTGTACTGGCTCTCCCTGCTCGCAACAACCAGTTGTCCACTGGTGCATGCCTCATCACTGTGGGACAAAACAACGGGGGTGAACAACCTGCATTTATTGCCCAGGAGAACGAGAGGCCCAGCAGGGAGGGGACACTTTGGATGAGAGAGAGTGGAAAGCACATTCCAAAGAAGCATAGCGTCGGGCTGTCCCTTAAAACAGGGCGCAGAAGTAATTTTACAGCTCTGGGGCTCAATGATCCTTATGGGTCCCTTCCAACTAGAGATATTCTATGATTCTATGACATGGCCATAGTGCCCATTTTCCCCAAGAAGCTCCACTCATGCTTGGTAAGGGCACTCTTTTACCCTTCCACCATGCAAAGGCATTAAATTTTGTCTTCCCTGGAGAACAAACCCCCAGGAAGCCTGCCCCAGCAACATTAAGGCAGAATACAAAGTCAGCTCCTAGCGATGAGCGGACTCTGTCGCATGCAGCACTGTCTAAAGAAGCTGGGAGTGAGAGCAAAAAGAAAGAGTAAAAATGTTTTTAATAAGTTCTGTAATAATTTGAAAGATAACTGAAGAGGCTGAGAGCAGCAAGACCCTAGAGGAGCCCCGGCGAGGAGCAGGCAAGGGAGAAGGTACCATCGATAAAGAGATGTTTTCTACACCTCCAGGTTATTTTAAACCTTTTTGGTAAGATAGCTAAGAGCAACCTTTACCTTACTAGGGAAAAAAAATCCTTTAGGCCCCATAACTGGGAGGAGCGCAGAAGCCATCTGCCTCCGGAGCCCAGCGTGCACTGACCCAGAGCACACACGAATATCACAGGCAGCGATACGTTACCTGAAGAAGAGGCGAAGGGATCTCATTTGTCCCAGGTCCACTCTAAAGACACCACAGACCTGCTCTAGGGCAAACACCTTCTGCTGCTCGTCCCATCTGGTGCTCTGCGTTTGCCCATTATTCTCCTGGAACTGGGCACTGGTGTCAAGGCTGGAGGCTGAGCTGGTGGAGCAGGTCATGCGGTTGTCACACGTGTCCCTGCAGACAAGAGCGCGGAGGAGGAAAGCCCCGCAAGACATCGGTTACGACTGCAGTTACACGCAATAACCACAAATGCTCCAGGTTAACAATCCTTTGACAGAGCTCTGAAATTGGAATTCAGTGCAAGTCCAAGGAGTCAGTGACCGACAGCCCACATAAGAGATAAATTATTTTTATTCAAATTAATTCCCTACCATCCCCAAAAATAATCCTATTTTTGGTCTGTTCCTGAACTCTGCACAGAACCGGGGAGAGTGAAAATCATTCCTGAAAACGCTGACTTTTGAGAAGGCAAAATTAAGAAGCCCAGAGTGGGAACGGCCCGTCCCCGGCTCCTTCTTCGCAGCACAAAGACCGGTTTGGGGATGCTGCCAGGCCAGCAGACACCTGCCTGCCCTCCAGCCCATGCCACGGAGCCCAGAGCTGCAGGACCCCTTCAAGCCATTATGCCCCTGGGATTGATGACCCCTTGGGATGGAAACGTTGGGCCCTTGCAAAAACACGACTGCAGAGGCAGAGGTGCTCGACAGGCTGCTTCGGCTGCTCCAGCAGCACTCGGCGAGTGGCTCCCGAAGGAAAAGCCTGCTTGCCCCACAGCTCAAGCAACCCCTCAGCACGCAGCCCAGCTGTGCCACACCGGGCCGGGGACAGGCGGAGCCAGCGCGTTCAGACGGCCGCACCGACTGGGGATCTCACCTGGCAAATTCCCGCAGTGACCAGTAAGACCCAAAGATATTTGCCCTGAACTCGAGCTCCTCATTGCAAGTGGACCTTAACAAGCCTGGGTCCATGTGTATCAACTTCAGACAAATGGTTTCTGCTTGCAAACTTGAAACTGGGGAGAGTTCAGGAGCGGGAAATTACACACGAGCTCTTTGAAAGCGAACCCAACCGTTTTCCAATACGCTAGGAGCTCACCGCGCCCCAGATATTTATCTTTAAGAGTAAACTGAGTTTAGATTAAAAAATCCCACATGCCCGCCACCAGCCCTGATCCCAAAAGAAAAATATCACTACTTTGAGAATTAAGTGAATCTGAAACTGTGAGCCCTTGGTTCTTAAAAGGCCAATACATGTGAACAATCTCAGCGCAAGCTCTGAATGGGTTCCGCTGTGAAATCAGGGTTTGCAAAACAAGGCAAGTAGCAGGTATAAAGACAGCCCCCTGCAATGCCACTTTATGCAATGTTTTCTAATCCGCTTATCTAACAATGTAGGCACTGAACGCTGAAAATCACACACTCAGCATGCATCTGCAGCACACCACATCAGTATGCTTTCCAAGCCTGGCTACAGCGTCTCTTCCACAGGGACGAGCCTTATTTGCAGCATCTACCCATGGTTCAGGTCATTGCATTCCAATGGACAGGTCTCCGGACATCCCAGTTAGTTGTGGGTTAAATTTTTAACCAGGCCCCCGCGAGCCCCCCAGTTCAAAGGTATGACTCGAAACCTTAGCGCCCACACGCATGGAAAATAAATCCCCGAGCGCCCTTCTCCCGTTCTGCAGCATTATGCAGATGAGACCAAGTCTGGTTTACTTGCAGCCAAAAGAGCGGCTTCGCTACTCTGTTCGTGAAGTTCTGCTGCTCCATTTTTCTGAAAGAAAGCATCAAAGCAAAGCTTACGTCCAAGCCATTCGGAGGTTGAGATCTCAGAAGTGACACGGCAATATTGCCATGTGAGCAGGGATCCTACGACATGCCCAAGCTCACTCGCAGCGGAACGACAGCCGTTTTTCTCAGGTAGGCACTGGGATAGCCCCGGTCTGACGAGTGCAGCCGTGCACCATCACCGGCACCCTGTAAATTCTTCCATGAAAATTGTACTGGCCTTTGTGCAAAATCAAGCGTTACTTTCTGATAAAGCTGCAAAACACACCACTTTCCTACAACATCCAGGATCTCACGTTAAAGCAGAAGTAACAGGAGTCCTGGTGCAAGACACTCGTGCTGGACTGCTTGCTGTAAGCAGCTGGTATTTATGGAGCAACACTTCATAACAGCCACAGCTGGTTACACAGGATTTTCCTGGAAGGGATGACTCAAACTAGCTCAAAGACTGAGCAGAGGCAACCAATTTTCTAAAACTCTTGCAAAGACGAACTGGTCGGTACGACCAAGAGCTGGAAGACGCCGTTGGCTGCGAGGATCGCTGTCCCTGTGGTCCCCTCGTCACAGAGGCCAACGTGCCTGTTCTTCAAGAGCATCATCTCAAATGGCCGGTGGCAGAGAGATGACTGCCAGGAAACAATATTTACCAGCAGAGGTGGGCAGGCTCGCCTTCGTCCTGGGGAATCGCGTAGCTCCTCAGTACGGAACGCTTCTGCCAGCTGCAATTACTTGCTACGTAACCCAAATCCGCTTCAGATACACAAGCAGCTACCCGAAGACTCCGAGGCTGGAGAGCCCAGTCACAAAGCTGCTGGCGATGTTGTATTTTCTAGAAATGCTTCTTCAAGTCAAATGTTTACAGTTCACATTTAGCCACTAGTTACAAGCTCATACACGCATCCAACGTACATGGAAGCAGTCTGAAGCAAGACGTTTAAGTGGATTTACCCTTTCTGGAGAGCGAGAAGCCAGGGAGGGTAAGCACAGTGCTTCCGAGTGTGCAGCCCGGGGAAACGCCAACCTTTTCATTGATGTAGAAGATGAAATCTGAAGGAGACATCTGTGCACCCCATGCCTTCGGAGAGGTCAATAAGCACCTACATTCATACACAGAGAGAGCACCACCTCGTACGTGGGTGCACACTGAGTCACTGTGGAAATTAAGACAAAAAGCCTCACTGTGTTTCAAATTACTGTTTCCCGTATATATTGACTGAAAAAAATGGAAATGATTCGGATCTGTTGGACTACTTTTAAAAATAGTTTTCGTATTGAGATCATCCTGTACTGAAGTGACAACAAGTAGCACGTCCAATGCTAATTTTGTGGATTTTGGGGAGTCCTCTAAGTAGGCACACAGATGCAAGGGAAGAATTCCCCGATTTGTTATATGTCGGACTATTACATCCGTTAGATGAGGGCTTTACACCAGAGTGCCCTGCAAAAGCCGGGAGCTGAAGCGCTGCAAGGCAGATAGCTGGAGGAACATTCCAAAGAGACTTTGGGTTGTGGGATCCAGGAAAACCAGGGTGCCAGCTAGCATGCAGCACTGCTCAGCAAATCAAGAGAACAAGTGCAATGGTCTACGGGAATAAAGGGGACAGGGAAAAAAAAATAAGGAGGATTAGCAAAACCTGAGGCAGGAAACCCATGGCCGTGTTCATGATTCCACTTAAGCCTCTTCCCCTTCCCGAAACCCCCGTATTTTTTGTCTCAAAATACATCTCGTTCTTGCTGGTGAGCAAGGCTGGGTGCTGATGTATTTTCTCCACTCAGCAATCGACTACAACAATCCCCACCGCATCTACATTCCTCCAGCTTGGCAGCCCCCAAGAAAGCCAGTGCTTGCGGAAGGCAGCCACCGTCCTCCTCCCACCGCACGGGAACTCCCTCGTATGCCCGATCCGCGGAGGGCAGCCAGGCTGGGCAAGTGAGATTTTGGACGGGTAGTAATGCAGTGATGGGACTTGAGACGCGCTGTTCGGTCAGGGCATTTGCACACACCTCCAGCACAAAGAGAGGGAAACCGGTTATTATTTCTGTTACGGAGCCAGGGCAGAGACCCGCACCAAGTACACGGGAAGACTATTTCAGCAACAAGGATCTAATAACTCATTTTACGACATGATGTGACAAATGTAATTACAAGAGGGAAAGGGGCTGAAGATCACAGCCGTGATGTGGCAGCGCGCACCGCCCGATTCCCAGAGAGCCTCTGGGAAGCGCCAAGCCCCCCTCAGCTGGGCTCTCCATCACCGCCGCGCCGGAGCACGCCTTTGCTAAGAACCGCTACTCCTGCACGCCGGCTTGTGAGGCACCATTTACAGACAATAAGTATCATCATAATGTCTGAGCATCCATGTAATGGGAATTACATGCCCTTTTTCCTCCCCGGGGGCTAGCATTTCTCTGTCTCTCCACTATTCCCCACAGGCACTGACCTTCTAGGTTCCTCTTCTTTCCAGCAAGGTGAAATAGCTCGTGGTGGCATCAGCTGCCTACAACGTCCCAGGCAGATAGCTCCAAATAAATAATCCATCAATAAAAGTTCAAAGCTGTCCTGAAACGCCTAAAAATTGAGAGTAGCGCCTGTACAAAGTGAGGCAATATCGGGCAGCTGGAACCCAAATCTTGTGTTCTGATTAAAAAAAGTGTCCTTGACAATTTACATATATAATGAGCTGTGAAACACGCTGACTTCAGCGACGTATAAAAGACGTGCACAAGAAAACAGACTGGTAATTTGAGATTGAAAAAATATTGTCGAAATGTTTCCGTCTGTTCCGAGTCGCGCTGCAGAGAGGGACTGGGAGGGCATGGCGGGGTGACAGTGAAACGCCGCAGCCGCGCCGGCGGCTCCCAGCTGATCAGCACAGACGAGTAACGGGGCTAACGACTGCGTTAAATTCACCCTTTGGCTGAAAATATTTGGAACGTGAAATTCCTTTGCCTCGGAGAGCCCGGACAGAATCGGTTTACACTGACCTCGGTGAACAGGGAAAAGGCGTTAGATAGTCTGGGTGAAAGCCTAACCAGAGCCTCTGAAATCAAACGTCAAAGCCTCCTGCTGTGGAAGCGCATCCATACGCCTGCAAACGCGCGGGAACAAACCCAACAATTCCTCCTGTTTGTTGGGGAAAGCTGTGACCAACGGCCCAGGACGTTACAGGACAAAGTACACGGCCGTCAGCGTGGGCTTTCCGAAGCTCTTCCCCAGGCTTTCCATTGATCTGTTTGCTTTCAAAACATAAATTTCCCCACCCTGAACTGCGCTAAATGCTATTTAGTAGCTAATTAACTTTCTGTGCCGAAAACCTCCTGTAATTGCACTTCTTTCACCTTTTTCAGCCCGTGTCCTCCAGGGAAGCCGAGCTGTCCTACGGC